GTGGTCAATTGTCTTACATCACAAGCCAATGAGAAAATGGATTATGTTTGAACCCCACAGGACTGACCCAGTCTATGTGACCTCAGCCACCATAGGGGACAGTGACATGGCAAGGTGTTATGGTTTACATCCAGATGTGCCCCAAAGCCTTGTACAATCATAAAATGGGGCTTTGGAAGGTGATTGGATCATGGGAGTGCTATACTCATCAGCAGACAAACCACTGATGAGGGAAGATCAGTCACCTGAGAGTTTGCAATTCCATGTGGCAGTTTGAAAGAGCTGGGTCACTTGGAATATGACCTCGAAGGGGTATCGTTCTCTCCAGCTTCTCCCTCGATAGTCTGCTTCCTGGGCACCATGACATGAGCAGCTATTCCCCTGATGTGCCATCCAGCCACCTCTCCTGCTTAAAGTGTGAGTGTCAGACATTGAGTGTCAGTGACACAGAAAGTGACAGAGACACGAGGCTGCTCCAGCAGACAGCAGGGCAGATTCTCAGCCAATCCTCCGTGCTCTCTTCTAGGGTCACAGTTTGGTCTACTTCCATTTTCCAAGGGCAGAATAGGGACAACCAAGGTTCATTCACTGGTCTCTTAGTGTGGGTTCCTAAAGATGGGATTAGATAAAACTGTCCTTAAAATGCTTGAATCACAAAGAGCAAGAAGTCAAAAAAACAAAATGCCCTGATGAGCCAGTGTAGGTGATTGGCCATACCAAGAGGAAGGATATCTACTGGTTGCAAAGCACTGTGCTAGGCAATACAGAGAGGCAGAGAAAGCAAATATTAGAATGGAGGAGGAGAATGATACTATTGATTGGGGTCTACAAAGAAAACATTGGTTGCTCCATTGCACATTGTGGGTTTGCACACTATTATTAGCTAGTTCTTCCTAAACTGAGACCCAGAAAAAGGCTAATGGCTTAAATCAATTCCTGCAAAGGACCTGCAAATTGAATGCGTATGGAGTCAAAAACAGGTGCTCGCATATGAGCCTGCATACCTGACACTTCCTGTCCTGCTGTGATTGTTTCCGGGCAGCATCCAGAGCCCGGTCAGAGCCCATCAGAGTCTTCTCTGGTGGTGGCCATCTGGAACTGGGGGCAATGTAACACTTTCTCCTGGAGGTGTTAAATTAGAGGCCCATAAATCTTAGGCTCCTGGCAGAATTCTTCTTTTCTAAATGGAGCAGTGGGAACAAGAAAGCAGAAGGTTAAGAAGTGGTGAGAAGTGAGAGGACAAAGAGGGAGTGGGGACAGGGCAGGAAAGGAGCGTGTGCATGTGCATGTGTGTGTGCATGTGTGTGTGTGTGGTGTATGTCTGTCTGTGTCATTCCAGTCCCCCAAAGCCTTGATTTCTATTTCAGTAAATTTTGTGCACTTTCCCACAATTCTGCCAACCTACCCAGACAAGCTCTCCTCTTCCCTTGAGCCACTCTGAGCCCACGTACCCTGGATGGCGTGGAACTGGGAAGACTCCTTTCTCTCTTGTTTTCACATTCAGTGTGCCTTGAAAGGAGCTGTGTGTGCACCATAATTTGAGCTGACTCAGGAGCAACCACATAACATAGTGTCGGCCTCCACAGTTGAGGAGGAGCCTCGGGGAAGCCCCTTGGTGATCTGTTGCAGACCCTGCACATGCCTGCAGTCTGCCACCAGCGGGAGACCACAAGTATTTGGTGATCGGTGCAATGGCTCTCAGGATGGGGAGGTCACTGGCAAACAACACAGCGCTGATTAACACAGACCAGGAAGAGAGGTGAGACTGGAGAGCCCTGAAATCCAATTGAAAAGAAGGTGAGTGTGGAGAGATCAAAACGGACAGCTGTGGGAAAGAAAGTTCATGGTTGCTAAGTGGAATCTCAAGCATTCACGGCTTCAAAATCTAGCAATCAAAATTTTACTCTGCTCAACTGTACAGGCCAGAATGGTTGCTGCCACTCCAGAGGCCGGTTCTTAACATCTGTGACAGTTTCCAGCAGAAGAGGAACCTGCATTTTTAAAGGCCACTTGGGAGATGACAGGTGTGAATTCTGTGCTGAAGCCAGTTATTCATGTTGTCCAACTTTTATTCAATCTGCCCAAGTGGAGTAGATGCACACTACATTCAACTCCCCTTGCAGAGTGCTGATGATAGATAATTGTTCTGGAATTTTCACCACCCTTTTCACGCTGAAATTTTTCCCAGTTTAGATAATTAATTAGATGACCACCCTCACTATAACCCAGGTTGTGTGTGTCTTAGGGGTTTCATGATCTTGCCACCCCTAAAATGTCTGCTCCATCTTCTAGTCCTTCCATGCAACAGCCTTCAAAGCACATGAGTCACAGGAGCTTCTCCTGGGAGCCTAACTGCACCCCGGATCCACAGGAGCACACCAGCCAGGCTTCCTCCTCTGGTAGAGTTCTTTGGGGTCTGATGCAATTCTCCTCTTCCTTCAGGACCCAGCACAGCAGTGACCTCCCTGACCTCCCCACCATTGCCTGTTCCTTGAGGTTCACCACGCACATCCTATTTGTCTAGTAACAGACAAGTGCAACTGTGCCCTCCTCCTCCTTCAAAACTTCCCAAAGCTCTTCCGTGTTTTGAACTAAGAATAAAGCCTGAACACGGCTGCCAAACTCTCACAGCCCTGCCTTTCATTCCACTCCAAATCTCTTCCCCTTCCTTTGGGAGATTTAGATTTAGTCCCACCTTTTACAGGCACCAATCTCTCACCTGTCACAAGAATTTGCACTTGTTTTTTCTCTGCCTAGAACTTCTCCACCTAGTCAAA